AAAAGCTAAAAGACCTTCCTCTGCTCGGATCACGTCTCTTAACAATAACGACAACAGTGGGGCTTTTTCCATGAATTGTCCCCTCTAATGTACATTATGTGTTGTGAAATTGTGTAGGGCAATTCTATTTATAGAGACAGGGGGAGTTTATGTCCGAATGAGCAATATTGGGCTTACAGCTGGAGAAAATAACTAACTTTAAGGTCACAGGAATTTATTTTCTTCCTTCTTCTCCCCTCTCTCACACACTTTCACGACAAACATCTGCTTTGGAACTGTACTGGCAAAGGCTTGAAACTTTCTTCAATTTTTCTCTCTCTCCTGTTGGTGAATAAAGTCTTTTTTTAATTAAGCAAGCCCAGGTGGTAAGCCCACATAGCAAACACATTTCCCCCCCAACCTTTATAATGCCTCATTAGAATTCTCTCCTTTAAAAGGATTTCTAATTATATTGTCTAATAAAACTAAACCTTGGAGATCATTTGCATATTATATGAAGAAATCTCATACAACAAACTCACAGCGGATTCAATTAACATAATAGCTAATTATATATCCCATCAGCCTTTTGAGGAGCTCGACATTCATGTTTCTCCTGTTCTAGCCTACAGGGCGGGGGGTGGGGGTCTGAATTTTCACTTTTAAATATTGACTCTTAATAAATATCAGCAGTGATTGGAAGACTTTTGCCAGTTTGAAATGCTTGTGATTAAATGACATGAAACACTTTTTTAAAAATGCTTGTTTCTAAATTCTTAGAAATGGCTCCCCCGCCCCCATTGTCAACTAAAAAAAAAAACACCTCTGCATGCTATCCGATGTTTACTTATATACACAGGTAGTTGTTCACATGTAGACATACATAATTCATACATAGTGGAACACTGACGAAAGAGGAGAGAATCTCTCTCATCTGGAGCGTGCTGCTCAAAGAAACAATTTTGATTGGCATGTTGGATTTTGGAAGATGTCCATCCGTAGCAGTTACATTTTTCCCCCCTCCCTACCCCATGTCCACAAGCCGATTGCATTCTTGGCTGGTTCTGGTCTCTATCAAGGCAGAAATTTACGGTGAGATTAGCAGAGACGTAGTCATGAACTGCCTCATGAGCTTCCTTGTAATTGGCTGTTATGAAGGTGTCATCTCTGTAGCCCATAATGAATTCTCCATCATGGGGCTTAAAATTGGCTAAAATATTCTGGAACTGATTTGGCGCTGTGTGTGCACATGGCCGTGTGTGTCGGTATTAACCTTACCTCCCCCTCCCCTTAGCATTTTGAATTACTGGCTCAATGAACTTTTTTTTTTTATTGCAAACATGCTTTGAATGATCAGCAGTGGAGACTGATTTGAAAGTGCTTTAAGTAATCTACCCAGTACTAAAATCTGTGCAGACAGCAAAAATCAAGGGGAAGAGGGGGGGAATCAAGTTTTCCAGGGTGTCAAATTATTTATCTCTGTGTGTGTTAACCAATGATAGCGGCTAAAGTTTGATGGAAAGTAAGATGCCTTTCTCTCTTTGCAATAATGGCTGCCTTGTTATTCATATTTTAATGAGGTTACTATCTCTGAGACAGCTTTTTCGGGGTGGAGGCCCACGTCTCCGGTGTGACAACAATAGGAGTTGCTTTATTGACAAGTACTATTCAAAATCTTCAGAGTCTCCAAAGAAAAGCTCTCTGCCAGTTGCTCACATACTTTTTTTTTTTTTTTGGCTCTTTTATTACTAGAGCAATTTTAAAGCATACTAAACTTTAGGGGCGCTACAGTTCTGATGATGGTGATACTAGTTGTGATATATCATTGAAGTTATGTGTGTATATATATATTCCCTGCCAAATGCATTAGTTTAAATACTGATTCAAGTGGCTTCCTTATAAATAAGAAGTAGCTACAGAGGTGCAGCAGCAATAATCAGATAGTACATATTTTATTCGTGCTAGACCATCATGTACTCATGGAGTGCTTGAATATTTGCATTGAGTGTGTACAATTCTGTGTATAAAGTGGCAGCCATGATTATTGGAAGCAGAGTTTAATCTCTTAATAATTATGTGGGGAACGGAAGCTAATCTGAAGTCTCACACTGAGTTTAATTCTGATCATTTCCAAAAAAGAGAAGGTGTGTGACTATAACAAAAGTAAAGAAAGTATTTGTAACTAAGTCCATCCACCACATCAACCCTGTTTAGCACTACTTTGCTAAATATATAGAGAGGGCATGCTAAAGTGCACATAGAATAATGCAATTCCCTCATTTGTTTCTAGCAAGACATGGAATATGCTCGCATTTAATCCAGTCCTTGCTCCATGCAGAAACATATTTAAGAAGAGACATACTTTTTGTGCAGTATAGAATTGTGTGTAGAAGAGAAATGCATGCAATTAATTCAATTAAAGCCTACTTTCTTGATACGTGTAATCCCTATGAACGCATAAACAAAGCAACAAGGTAATTTTTATTCCCCTCTATTTAAAACTTTGTTAGTTTTTTCTAAACTGTATTTCTGAAATACGTTTTAATGTAGTCAGTCCACCATGTGCTTAAGTACATTTGACTCCCGCTGAGGTTGAGGCATAAATATGCTTATGCTTGCACTGATTTGCATTTTTCATGTATTTTGAGGTTCCAATGCTGAACTGCAAGCTGGAACCTCAAAATATATGAAAAATGCAAATCAGTGTGAGCATAAGCAGTGATCCTTGCCACTTACATGGGGTGCCATTTTGGTAAGCCAATGCTCTTAGTTGGGCTGGGTATCAGCAACCATACAAGCAGAATACCTTATCCCACCACCATAATGGTAAAATTGCCATTCTGATGCTGTGAACAAATTATAGCTCTTTTCTCAAATCAGTTGTCTAAAAAATACCTAGCATGTGATTTTAAGTATCTCTGCCATATTTGATTGCCATACGCGTTCACTTAAAGGTGAAAACATAATATACCGCCATTGGTTTCATGTGCTACATATACTGTTCTATATAATCCACCATGCCCACAATCCAACACAGAGTTAAGCATGCTTAAGCTCATTGAAATCAATGAGCTTATGCACTATTAATTCTGTGTTAGGCAGCGGCTATTACAGCTTTAAGACAGGATAGCCCAAATTGGGGCTTGGTTACCTCTGAGCTCAAACTTGCTGAGCTTTAACCACCATCATATTGTTACATCCTGTAGCCAGTTCGTAAAATCCTTGGCCTTTGCAATGAGCTTTATTTTTTGTTTAATAATTGTCTTGGAAAACAAAGACATTGTGACATTCAGAAAGGTACCAACAGGCAAGCAATTCCTTGTTTTATTTCCGCCCAGATCCTAAACAGGTGAATGTAGAATTCTACTGAAACCAAATAATGTTAGGGTATTTGGCATTTTAAATCCCAAATCATGATGTGTGTTGGGGTGGGGCAGGGGCGAATAGGACTTGGGTTGCATATTTCATGTGGTTTACTTGGGGTCATTATGTTTGGCCATTAGACAGACAGCTGCACAAGAGTTATTTGCAGCATTCTGCTTAATTCATGAATTGGCCTTCAATAGAACACTTGAAATCAGTATTTGTCACCTACAAATTCTTTCTATATGATCCCCTTTTTATTATTCTTTTATTGCAGTATTTATCTCTCTCTCTCTCTCTCTCTCTCTCTCTCTCTCTCTCTCTCTCTCTCTCTCTCTCTCTCTTTTTGTTTCCCCCAATTTCATAAAAAGTTAGTTTCCAAATACAAAACAAGGCTGGGGTGAGAGGGGAAAAGTCTCATAAAAGGCCCTAGTTTAAGAAACACAGGAGGTGTGGAGGGGTGGTGGTGGAGGGGGAAGGGACTCTAAGCTTTAATTTTAATTCTCCTGCCTTTATTTATCTGATTTGTAGCCAGATGGTGGTGAAGCAAGGCAACCCTTTGTGTAAATGGAGCACACATATGAAAGTGCTTCCGTAATGTAATCATTGAGACCGGAAGGGTTCATACTGAGCCTGAAAAGAGACAATGGAGACTGGATATATCAACATTGCAGAAATCGAGTTCATTTGTGATTCAGTCCCTTTGACTATGGTTGTCATGAAAACTTCCTACTTTGATCAGTAGAGGGTGGAGGGGGGGAAGTCTTCCAAAGGCCCAGGGATGTGGCCCCCGTTGTTTACTGTGCACTTGGCTTCAATTCACGCCCCCTTCCGGAAGAAGCAACAGGGATAGGCGCATCTTGCACCTTGACCTGTCTAGACGGGAGAGAAGTTTTTTTGTCCCTGTTACCAAGGGCGAGGGGTGCTCTTTGACCCCTTGCAGCACTAGCTGTGAAGACTCTCACTAAGAATGTAGGTAGCGGTCTCAGTGTTTCCGCAGGATTCTGACTTAACTCTGGAGGAAGAGGACTGGGTGAAGACATGGGCCAGCTGTTTGAAAAATAAAGCTTGAAACAGTAGAACCTGGGAGAACTTGCATTTTTGTAAGCGATTATTTTCTTTGCAGAAAAAAACCCCTGGGAGGCTTTAAACAGCTGCTTCAGAGTTGACGAGCAGCAAGGAAGCTAGACCGACTGAAGGGGGAAAGGGAGGGAGGAGAGAGAGAGACTTTTTGTAGCAACTCTCCTCCATTTAGAGGAGTGAAGCTGATTCCAGCAAGAAAACAGAGTCCCGCCAAGAAAACACTGGGCACAAGAAGACGTCTCTCTCTCTCTCTCTCTTTATTTGCTGTCTTGGTCACAGAGTTTCAAAATGTGCTTAACATTTAATTGTACTGTATATTATTTCAATTCTAAAAGGAATGTTTTATGGAAGCTTAAAATGTCTAATTTTTTCCAAGTGTCATTTAGGCTCAGGGTGACATTTTTAATTATTTATTTTGCATAATGTGGATTAGCAGTGATGTAGGGAGGGAGATCTGTGGCCCTTTTCCTTTGATCGGTCTTGGGCATTTCTGCTTCTGTAAGGTCACACTCTTTGCTCTGATAATGTCTGAAGCTGAAATATCTGTAACAGTATTTCCTCCCCTTTTCCTTTAGGTCCCTTTTGCAAAATCCGAGACCTTTTTAACGGATGTTTTGGAAAAGATATGCGACCGGATGAACGATTACCAACTTCAAGACGATCCAGACACAAACAAAAAGATATTTAAGAGATATGCTCCTCGGAAGGATGAGCCAATCTATGCAGAATATAAAAAATACTTTTTTTATTCTGATGCTTATAAGCCCTTAAAATATGCGGTAAGACATCATAATAAACTGCTGACATTTTGGGCAGGATTGCTATTAGCATAATATTTGATACTGTATATTAAATCATTCCATTCTGTGTAAACTCGGCGTTCTCGTTGTATTGCCTTATTCTTGCAGACTAACTAGGAGTAACAGTGGGGCATGACTTAGGGTTTTCTAAGCGAAAGCACTGCATGTGCATCAAAATATTGCATAATTCAGTACGCTAGTTGCGTAGGCAGATGCAGCTACTGTCTGTTTTCGTGCTACAGTTCTCGCCTGCTAGTTTATTTAAAAAAACCAAAACAATCTCTTTTACTCCCCTGCTGACTTCGATAAGATGCACATGGTTGTGATGCTAGGCTAATAATCCAAATTAATGTGAGTGTTGTTTCAAATATTTCAAATATTTATCACTGGACTGGTGGGGGGAAAGGGAAGTTGTGCTGTTATCCTCTCTTTTTTTTCCTTGGGCCTTGTTGAAAGGGAGCTCATGGCTTGAGTCAGAACGAGGGCCTAGAGCTGATTGAAGCAAAGGAGCATGGCTTCTCTTGCTGGCCTAGTGCCAGAGTGCTCCTTCGTGCTTTCTTCCCCCCCCCCCACATGTCGAGCGTCATGGGCATGTCAAAGAATGCTTGCTATATATATATATTTTGTTAGTCTATGAAAACAGAGGGGAATAGGGATAAATTCCCACTCCACTCTGAAGCCCCTTTTGTGGGAGTACATCCCATTGTTTTCAAAGCAGTTTACCTTTGGAATGAAATGTGTTGGGACTGGGGTTCTGAGCAGATTTTAACTACATTGATGTGAACGCAGCATCAGCATCAGGATGCTTTGTAGATTCATCAAGATAGCCAGTTGGTCCAATTGCTCTTGGTTCTTTTGAGACTGTGATTCTCGTGTTTCAAGATTCTCTGTGTTTAATGTGCTGAAAGTGTGTCTATATCTCTCATGGCGTAGCCTTGCTCTTATCATCAGGGCTGGGTGAACGTTCAGCAGCCTTTGTGGTAGATTTTTGGCCTCCTGACTGAAATGTGTGTGTGTGTGTATGCATGCATTTTCTCCCAAATATATTTTGTGCCTCTGTTCTCATGACCCAGTAAGGGATTTTTGGGAAAGCCATGCACACGTTTAACTTATGGCTAAAATTGCTCTGCTGAGCCAAGCGTTATCACCAGTCGCCCAATGAGATTTTGTGAAGACAGTGCCCACAAGTTCAGAAAATTAGAAATCTAAACAGTGCTTGAAGACCCAATTGCAGGTCGCATTTAGCATTTTAAGCGATGCCAGTATTTCACTTAAGAGCAAAGCCAAGAGAGGGTATATATGTCTTTGAATGCCAAGAACTATGCATATAATAATTTTTAAAAAAGAAAGAAAAAGATTTTGGTGTAAATTTCATGTAACTGGTTGGTAATGTGAGTAAACCCCCCAATAAGTGAAAATGTTCACAATCTGAGTATTATTCTTTTTTTCCCAACTTCTAACATGGGGGGGGGCATTTTTGTTAGAAATGGGTCCTGAATTGGCATATGTTGAAATCTTGGCTATGCTGTTAATTATATAGAGAAATAAAGCAATTGTTTGGGAGGCTGCACCAGTCAAACATGCCACATGGACTTCTTTACACTGTACTTCTTTGCTGCTGCTCTGTCTAAAAGGTCTTGTTTGGTTCTTTGCTAGAGAGCGACTACCTTTTTTCCCCCCTTTTCAGTGTGAGACTATCATAGAACAGTATGAAGATGAAATATTCTCACTTATCGCCCAGGAGGCAGACTTTCTGGCTGACAGGCTGTGCATTGAAAAATCAGGTACTGTGTCTGATGTAACATGTGCTCTCTCTCTCAACAGCATCTCTTCTCTCCCCCCCCCCCTTCAACCGAGTTGCATGGCTTGGGTGTAGCAAAAAGCACTTTGGAAAAAATATATATCTGTAGTTGAATAAGCGTTGACATTGCCCTGCCATGGAGGTTTTTGTGTGTGTGTGTGCGTGTGCTGAAAGTGGATTCTTTCATGTGGATT